TCCAGTGAAGGAACGAGCCGGGCAGCGAAGTCTTCGAATGAAAGTGGAAGACTTCCGACATCCGCATATGCCTCGGAAAAAAGGGCGGTCGTGCGCACAACTGCTTCCGATGGCGTCGAGGGAGGTGTCGAGTCACCCTCGGCGGCGCCTACTTTCCCGAACGGGGTTTCCCCTTGGTGGGGCAATGTGCAGCATCGTGGATGGTGCTGTTGCACCAAAGACAATAACGGTACTTGAGTCTCGTGCGGTAACAATTCGCCGAGAGTCCGTATTGTGCCCAAGGTTCGTCGGCCGCTGATCCGGTGCTCTGTGTAGAGGTGGACTGAGTCTTCGTCTTGTCGCGACCGTGGTTGTTGCGCGGCCGGCCACCATCCCGGGCAGCTGCCAACGCTTCACCCTCGTTTGGTGTTGCAGCCTCGGCATAAGAAGTCGGCGAAGTCGCCGCAATGCAAGCCACCTTTGGCTTGGGCTGGGTGCTGCTCGTCGTCGCGGAAGATCGGCCGGCGTTGCGGGCTTCTACATTCGTGAGAATGATCCGTGACGCTGTGCTGAAAAGCTTGTCAGATGTGTCGAGTGTCTCTGCAATCTGCGTCAGCGCGTTTTGCAGGGCTGGACACGAGCGCATGATAAACAAGTGCTTGACTCCACGGAATGCGAGCGGCAGGTCAGGTGTGGAGGCGAGTCTTTGGAACTCGGTAATCCAGTCGTGACTGAGCAGCGTGTTCTGATGGAGCTTGTTGAGCTTGTCCATCGCTTGCAGGTCAGGCGGCTCCACTTGGAATCGCTTGTGCTAGGCGTCAGTCAACTCCTGCCAAGTGAGCTTGGTGTGCAGTTCCGACACTGCTACAAGCACGGATGTCGATCGTTGTTCGGGACATGGTGCATATCGAGCCTGAGAGTAAACTGGCGCCACCACGGGATCGGTTCCGTCTTGGACTGATCGCAGAAAACTGGAATGTCATCCAGTTTGGGTGGGCGTCGGGAGGATGCGGTGGCGGGCGTCACGGTGGCAGCAGCCTGGACCTGCGTCTCCAACTGCAAGTTCGTTGCTTGTTGCGACGTCCGGAAATCCTGATGCACACGCTTAATGTTGCTGATGTCATCCTCCAAAACTTGAACGCGGGTGGTAAGGTTGGAAGGCCCTGCGGCTGCTACAACAGCTGGCTGTTTCTCCAACGCCTGCAGCCGTGTAAGCATCTGGTCCACTGTCTGCTGCAGGTGAAGGATTTCCTCCTGCTGCAGAGCGCAGGTGGCCACGAGGTCGTGGGAGATCTGCGCAACTGCTGACAGCCCTTTGTCAGTCTCCGGGGCCCCGTCTACAGATGCCATTTCCACCCAATGTGCGGTTTCATCGCCGATCACGGTCTCCCGTGTGAACAGTCGTTCCCGCTGGCGTGACCGGTGTTCAGCTGCCGCCTGCAGGTCTGCCTCCTCTTGACGAAGTCGGTCCTGTTCCTCCTTCCGTCGCTTGGCCTCCTCTTCGGTGCTCGGACTGCAGCTAATCAGAAAAGAAGAATCTTTACAAACTCAGAGTAGGAGTAGGTTGCAACAAGGAACAAAATGCCGTTTTTTTTTTGAAAAAGAACGGAATTTGCAGACCTACGCAGTGAAAGTGTAGAGGGACATTTTCGGAAAAAAATCACGAAATTGTCAAAATGCAGACATTTAACAATTAAACAAGGTAAAAAAAAATTCTCGGAAAAGAATTCTCAGAACGAAAAAAAAAATTCTCGGAAAACAATTTTCTCGGAAAAATATTTCTCGGAAAAGAAAAAAAAAAATTCTCGAAAAAAAAAATTCTCGGAAAAAGAAATAATTTCTTGGGAAAAAGAAATTAATTTCTCGGAAAAAAAAAAATTCTTGGAAAAAGAAATGAATTCCGGGAAATTTTCAAGATTAACAAAAAAAATTGCCAAATAATCAATCAATCAATCAATCAGTCAATCTCAGATGATTGCTGATTGATTGATCGATTGTTCGATCTATCTCCTGATTGACTGATCAATCAATCGAAGATTGATTGGTGGCAATCCGCCAATCCAATCAATCAATCGATTGATTGGTTGTTGCCAAAATTCACCGCACTAGCTCCGATACCACTTGTATCATATCAGAAAGTGAAATGCACTGAGAGCCTAGGATCTAGCAATGGCGAAAGTGGCAACAACTGGCAGCATAGATGCAACATTCACAAGATGTCAATGTGCACAATGCAAAGAGTAAACCAACGAGAAATCAACAACAATACATTTGTATCGTCATCATGGGCTGGGAAGCAGCACAGCGGAAGTCTTAGTAACCAAAGGACACGAGGACAGACAAAC